TATCCTCAAGCCCACTAATCTCCGTATTTCGATCTCCCAGCTGTTGCTCCTACGTGGGACGCCGAGGAGGAGGCCCACAGGCCTTATCCATTGGGAAAAACTGTGACAAGTTCGGCATTGTGGCGCACGAGCTGGGCCACGTGGTTGGGTTCTGGCATGAACACACTCGGCCAGACCGAGACCAGCATGTCACCATCATCAGAGAAAACATCCAGCCAGGTAAGGGATCGTGAGTGGAGTCTAGAAACCATAAAGGTTGGGACAGCCACAGGCTAGGGGACAGTGGGAGGAGGCTTGTAGCTAACTGGAAGTAGTGACCTAACTTTGTAGGTGCTTGATATGAATCCTACCACCTGCAGCCTTCCTGAGAACATATCTGCTGAAGAGTGTGGCTTATAACGGAATAGAAACCATGGTTCTTCATGTTGTAAAGGAAAATGAAATCCAATCCAAGTTCCTAAGCAGTGTCGGGGCTGGTTAGCCAAAAGAGGAGCTCTCTTTGCTTTCCTGAGTCTCTTTTGCCACGCAATGGAGCCTTTGAAACTGCAATGCACCAAGATACAAATGCATGTGAAAAATAGTACCTGGCCTAGAAGCATTCTGCCCCAAGGCAGACAGCATGCCCAGATCAAACATGTATGCATCTTTTCATGTCAGATGATTTGGTGTAAAAGTTTGCATTGGAGCCTGGTGAGGTAGTACTTCCTTATAAGCCATGCGCTAGGGCAATTAAGGTAGGAGGATCACAAGTTGGAGGCTAGCCTAAACTTAGAGTGAATTCAAATCCATCTCAGTCAACTAATAAGACCTTGCCTCAAAGAAACACACACACAAAACTACAACCAAAAAGTCAATATTGAATACGAAAGTAGCTAGCTGAGTAACATAGTTGCCTTAAATCTGCTTTGTGGTATGTAAGTGTACATGTGTGTTCACATGTTTGTGGCATGTGGAAGCCAGAGAACAACCTTGGATGTTGTTCCTTAGGGCCTTTTCGTATTATTTTTTTGAGACAAGGTTTCTCAGTACCCTTGAGCTTGCCAAGGAGGCTAGGATGGCCAGTAAGCCCTAGGGATCCACACATCTCTGTCCCCAAGGTTAGAGCTACAATCATGTGCCACCAAGCCAGCTTTTTTACATGGGTTCCGGGACTCGAACTCAAGTTATCATGGTTATGAGGCAAGAACATCCTCAACCAAGCTCCCCAGGTTGCTTTAAATCACAAACATTTGGGATTCAACCTTCTGATTTATTTTCTTGTTTCTTCACATTGCAAGATCAGAAATTTGGGGGTTTTCCTTTTAAATGAAATATTTTGGACAAGTAGACAGAATGCTAATCTATCTGCAAGCAGAGTTGGAAGTTTCAAGTGGCATTTGGGGAGGGGTTTTGGCTAGTCGGGCAGAGAGAACACAGGGCTTGCCCAGTGTTTCAAAGTCTATTACATACAACCACCCTAAGCCCACACATCCTGTTATCTGGCCACTCAGACAACACAAGCTCTGGGAAATTGCCTGGGCCCTCCTTCTCCCCGCAGCTTCCTTTTGGGTAGTGCCTTATTTCCATAGTCCTTAACAGAGTGCTGTGTCACAGGTCAGGAGTACAATTTCTTAAAAATGGAAGCCGGTGAGGTGAGCTCTTTGGGAGAGACCTATGACTTCGACAGCATCATGCATTATGCCAGGAACACCTTCTCAAGGTAGGACTATCTGTTTTTATTGCACCTGCCTCAGGCTTGGGTCTGAGGAGTCCTAAGGTCTGTGGAGAGTGAGCAGGTCTCGGCATGCTCCTTCCATGGCTGGCCTGTCCATCCTTGAAATACAGTGGCCTCTGGGCTGCAGTGAAATACAATCTAATCATGTTCTTGCTAATAGGATTGAGCCCTGTTGTGAAGGTGGCATTCCATCATGCCCTCATGTCACAAGGAGCAAACTGGAAAAGAAATTATGGAGAGGTCATCTGGGAGGATAACCTAGAGGCTTTTTGTAAAATTCCCATTGGGCAGGGGCATCTGTAATACACATCCTAAACAAATCAGAAAGTGCTTGCCATTGTCCTAGAAGAGGCTGTTTATTGGAAACCAGGCATGTCAGAGAATGAATGGCTGTAAATCATGGGTTCTTTTTAGAGACAAAGAAAACTAACATCTAGCCATCTTGAGAAAGCACAGGTGCCCAGATCATAGTGAGAACAAGGAGGCAGGTTCCCTGCTTTCAGTCTCAGGGAATGGTATTATTCACCAGAGAAGGGTGGACCTGCTATTTACCTCAGGCACTCTTGGGGTCTGTCCCATGTGTGTGGCTTGGAGATGTTAAGTATTCTCCATACTGCTCCTGCATCTAGATCACATAGGTATTCTGTGCAGAGAGGAGCATCCCCAGTAATCCCAGCTGATAGGTCTTCCCAGACCTTAAGGAAACACTTAAAAGTAAAAAGAAACACCACAAAAAATTTTTTATCTTCTTGGCTGTTAAGCATCCCCTTAACATCTGTCTGTTCATTTATCTAATCCTTGCTCCTAGAAAGGTCCAAGATGGTTTCCAACACACACACACACACACACACACACACACACACACACACACACACACACGACAACAAGGGTTAGGTGTGAAGACAGAGAGCTGTGTTGAAGTCTGGAATAAATTCAATGCTCAGAATACATGGCAGTAGGATGTGAAGGTTTTGTCAGCATGGACAGCAAATCCTGCTTGTGTTTTCTAGTAGGCAAGGCAAAGAGGAAAACCAGGTCATTTCCTGAGTCTCCATGTGTCAGGGTTAAAGGGAGCCATTGGCCTGGGAGTGTTGGCTCTGGACAGGAAACTGACCACTGAGAGCTCTTTGGTTCTTGGGCAAGGCAACCTCTCCATGAGGTTGCCAGACCGGTAAATCCCAAGTTCCTTGGCCACTAGTCTGCTTCAGTTCTGACCTGCCTGTTGCACCCAAGCAGGGATCCCAGCCCCCTAACCAGAGGGTGCTGCACAATTCAGAGTCTCAGACAGTCTCCTTATGAGATGGGAAGCCCAGCTGCTCCCTGAGCCCTTTCCAGCTCCAGCCTCTGTGCAGCAATCTCTTAGTCTAGGGTAGGTGAGTGTGGAGTTGACAGGTGACCCTGTGCATTGCCACACAGGAAATCTGAAGTGAAAGAACTTCCTCTCCTAGACCAGTAAACTAGATTTGAGAGGTCCATTCTGGGGTTGAGTGGTGGTCTGATTTTCTTTATGTTGCTGTGATAAAATACTCTAACCAAAAGCAACTTAGAAGGAATAGATTTATTTCATCTTATACTTCCAGATCATAGTGCATCACTGAGGGAAGTCAGAGCAGGAACTTGAAGAGGAAACCATAGAGGAACACTGCTTTCTGGCTCACACCATAGGTCCATGCTTGCTTTGTCTGTTTCTCTCTCTCTCTCTCTCTCTCTCTCTCTCTCTCTCTCTCTCTCTCTCTCTCTC